CAGCTCAAGGCAAGCACTTTACTGCTTGAGCCACAGCGCCACTTCCAGTTTTCTAGTGGTTTATTGGAGATAAGAATCTCACAACTTTCCTCCCCAGGCTGGCTTTGAACCGTGATCCTCAGATCTCAGCCTCCTGAGTAGCTAGGATTATAGGCATGAGCCACCGGCACCCGGCTAGGTTTGGGTTTTTGATATTATTTTTGGTTCTAGGCCTATGGCTTAAACTCAGGGATTGGGTGCTCTACCACTTGAGCCACAGCTCCACTCTGGCTTTTTGGTAGTTAACTGGAGATAAAAGTCTCACGGACTTTACTGCCTGGGCTGACTTCCAACCATGATCCTTAGATCTCAGCCTCCTGAGTAGCTAGGATGACAGGCATGAGCCACCAGCACCCAGTTAGCAGGTTTTTGTTTTGTTTTGATTTGTTTTCACTTTGGGTTCCACAAACTTCCAGTGGAGTCTGGGGAAAGCATTTGGAAAGGCCTGGAAATTTGGATGGGAATAATTTTCCATTTTTATTTCCCTTCTCTACTAAGTAAAATTCAGCATTTTCCTGAAAGGAATGTAACTTGTTTCTGTGCTGTATACTGCTCGGACTAGTAGGTAGTACACAGTGGAAAATCAATAAATGTTTATTGATTGAATGGTAGGATTCCTCCTCTGCCATCTTACACAAATCCACAGCTGGACCAGTACTGGCCTTTTTGACCACCTAAGCAGAAGAGACATTCCTGAATCTGATTTGGTCCAAACAAGCATGTGGTACTTTAAAGCTCTGGCTTCAGGATACAGAGACAAGCAGTTGGGCGGAGGGGAGGGATGGGGAATCAGACTGTCAGGTACATAGTGTACATGACTACACATCCTCTTGATTTCTGTTTATAGTCCCAGCAAATGGGGTTCATTTTCTCTAATTTTCGGTGAATAATAGTTGGTTTGTTTTTTTTTTTTTTGGAGTTAGATGTGACCTTAATGACCTGCTAGAACAATCCCTTCTCTTAAGAGGCCCAGACTGAGGGAGTGGGGGCACAGGGAACATGATGTTGCTCTAGCAAGGTATTTTCTCTTTTCTCATTATAGTTCAGCCCAGGACATGAGCACCCGGGCCAACTACATTTGAATCCCATAATTGGCTCCTAAAACTATCCCTGAAGACCAAAGTTGAAGAGTTAGGGGTTTGGGGTTTTTTGTTTTCCCTTTTCCTTCCTTCCTTCCTTCCTTCCTTCCTTCCTTCCTTCCTTCCTCCCTCCCTCCCTTCCTTCCTGCCTGCCTGCCTGCATTCCTTCCTTCCTTCTTTCCTCCCTCCCTACCTCTCTTCCTCTTTCTTTCTTTCCTTTCTTCTTTCCTTCCTTCCTCTTTCTTCTTCCTCTTTCTTTCTTTCCTTCCTTCCTTCCTTCCTTTCTCTTTTAATTCTTCCTTTCTATTTTCCTTCCTTCCTTCCTTCCTTCCTTTTTCTTTCTCTTTTTCTTTCTTCCTTCCTTTTTTCTCTTTCTTTCTCTCCCCAGTGCTCACTCTCCATCCCCCTCTCTTCCTTGCCCTCTCTCTTTTTCCTTCTTTTGTAGTTCTGGGATTTGAACTTGAGGCTTCACTTTTGTTAAGCAGGTGCTTTATCACTTGAGCCACACCCCCATCCCAGGGCCTGAGGATTTGATGGAGCTGATGGAGAAGGAGGGAAGAATGTGATGGAGAAAGAGGGAAGAACGTTATGAAGGTCAGACTTCTGTGACTGGCTTTCAGGCTAGACTCCATCTGAGATTTTAGTCAAGTTGCTTTTCATGGGCTGGTGCTAGGATGATTAGCCTAAGATTGTAGATGGGAAAACAAAGGGCCTCTAGAATGGATGAGGGAGTTATGTTACAAATTAGGACAAAGTGAAGCAAGGATGACAAAGCTGGCTACCAGCTTGGCAAGTATTCTCTAGTCAGCCTTACCTCTTCCTGGCCCACTTCCTGTCTCTGCTCCCTTCCTTTTCACTCATGCTCATTGGGATGGGCTTTGGCTAGTTCAGGTAGATGTCACTTCACTCTGCACTAGATGCCTTGAGTGACCTGCACTCTGACCCCTACGCCTGAGGTATTATTATATTATCTTGGACAAGATGTTCCCTTTTCTTTTTTTTCTTTTATTTTGAGATAAAATTTTGCTATGTTGTCCAGGTTGGTCTTGAACTCCTGAGCTCAAGAAATCCTCCTGCCTTGGCTTCCTAAGTAGCTGGGACTAGAGGTGTGTGTCACTACATCTGGCTAAGATCTTACCTTTTTGTAGACATCAATTCTGTCTACCATCTCTGATAATGTGAACCAAAGGCATCAAAACCTCCATCCTTGCTAGGTGCTGGCTGCTTATACCTGAAATCCTAGCTACCCAGGAGGCTGAGATCTGAAGATTGTGGTTCAAAGCAGGAAAGTCTATGAAACTCTTACCTCCAATTAACCACCCCCAAACAAGAAGTTGAGCTATGACTCAAGTGGTAGAGTGCCATTCTTGAGCTAAACCTCTGGGACAGCACCCAGGACCTGAGTTTAATCCCCAGGACTGACAAAAAACGAACAACCAAAAAAACCCACTTCCATTCTCTTCCCAAAGCATTTATTGGAAGAATGGAGAGTTCTATCCAAGATCTGGTATTCAGACCATTTCAAAAAAGGAGGCCAAGAAAGAGAATGGGCTTTGCCAAAGGTCCCATAGCCATCTGGCAGTGATCCCACTTCCTTTAATCTTTTTACTCCCATAACTCAAGCCTGCCAATTCCAGTATCTTGAAAGCTGTCATGAGCTGAGTGCTGGTGGCTTACTTGCACCTGTCACCTTAGCTACTTAGGAAGCTAAAATCTGAGGACAAGCTCTTGAAGCCAACAAGGGCAGAAAAGACTCTGTGTCTTATCTCCAATTAACCAGCAAAAAGCCAGAAATGAAGGTGTGGCTCAAGTGGTAGAGCACCAGCCTTGAGTGGAAAAAAGCTAAGGAAAAGCACCCAGGATATGAGTTCAAGTCTGAGTCCCAGTAAAAAGCTCTCATGGAATTGACACATCTCTCACTCAAAAGAATTCCAATTAATTTATGTAGCCACTTTCCATACTCCTTAACTCAACACGTAAGCATGCACTGCACTCAGTAGCTTATTTCCAAATAGTACATCATGGAAAGGGGGGAAATGGAGTAATTCTGAATGGAGAAACCTCACAGATTACTACCTTTACTAGCTAAAATTAGTATCAACAATGTCATATTGATGTTATGTACCTTTGACATGCCATGGCATTTTACTTCTGTGATCTTCCTCTCTTTAACACATAACTCCATTTAACCAAGAGAAAAACATCAGACAATTCCCAGTCAAGGAATATTCTACAAAATACATGATCCATACTCCTCAAATGTTGATAATTCTAGGTCATCAAAAACAAGGAAAGTCAGAGACAGTGTCACAGCCACAAGGAGCCTAAGGGGACATGATAATTAAATGGAGTAAGGTATTCTGGATGAAATATTGGCAGTAAACCTAAATGAAATATGGGCTTTTGTAAATCATAATGTGCTGATACTGGTTCATTAATTGTGACAAGAAAGTGTTAAGTTCAAACTGACAATACAGTTAAGATTTCATTGTGTCATCTTTGTAATATTTTTAAATCTAAAACTTCAGGGTGGGGGGTATTTTTGTTTTGAAACAGGTCCTTGGGGCTTGAACTCAGGCCTGGATTCTGCCCCTGAGTTGTGTTCAAGGCTAGCATTCTACTACTCGAACTACAGCTCCACTTCTGACTTTTTTGGTGTTTAATTGGAGAGGACAGTCCCATGGACTTAATTGTCCTGCCTGGATTTGAACTGTGGTCCTCAGAGCTCAGCTTCCTTAGTAGATAGGATTACAGACTCGAACCACCAGGACCTGGCTTTAAATCTAAAATTTTTGAAATTTTTAAAATTCCCAAGTAAGTCCCCATCATGCCACTCACCTCAGGTGTAAAGTCGAGTTCCTCACTGTTCTCCCTCCCTCCCTCCCTCCCTCCTTCCCTCCCTCCTTCCCTCCCTCCCCTTCAGTCTCCTAACAGCCAGCAGAGGGCGTTCTGTAAAACCGCAAATCTGACAGTAAAATAAATGCGTCGATGGAAAGTTCAGGAGAGTATTGAAAAAAGGACCCATCTGTATAAATGAATGTCATTTATAACTGTCACAACAATGAGTGTCATTATTATGGCCTAGATTGAATCCTGTTAATATCTCTGGTTTCCGTTGAAATGTAATACTGTATAGTCTTTTCAAGATCTCCTAATCAAAGACTGCCTTAAGATGCCCAGCTCCCGACCTCTCTATGCTATCCCGCTAGAATAACTTCCCTTTATTTTCCTTTATCTCTAAGTGAATTACTGATGCTGTCATTTCTCCTGCCTCCCTCCCTCTGTCCGGCCAGCTCGGGGGACCCCGCACCTCCTCCCTAAGGCAAGAGCGCTTTCGCGCGCGATTAGGTGGTGCTGTCCAGACCAGTATCGACACATTAAAAAAAAAAACTATATACAAACAAGAAAAATGGATGCCTCTGGCTCTCCCACGCCCAGCTCGCACTAGGCCCGAAGAAAGGTTTGACGCACTACATAAATGAAAAGATGAATCACCGAGTAAACCGATGTTCTAGGGCGTAGGGCGTCTTTGTACGCATGCGCCAGCGGGAAAGGCGTGAGAAGCTCTTTGCTACCTGCCGGGGTGGATTGCGTTGGTGGAGGTGGGAGGGGCTTCCTCAGCCTCGCCTTGCTATTGGCCAGGACGGTCCGCATTGGTCTGACGCAACGCCTCTGCGGTCTGCCAGAGCAGGCCCCTAGCCTGCAGACCCCTCCATCCTCCGCCCTTCCCCCCCCCCCCGCAGCTACCATCTTGCAGGCCATTGCGTAGGCCAGGACGCTTCGTGCTGGTTTGTGGAGGGAGGGAGGGGGGGGCGGGAGAACTGGCTGCTAGGAATGGCGCACTGGGGCAGACAAAAGACTCTAAGCGACACTGAATTTGCTTAAATTTTATTAGGGTTCACAAGGAAAGAGGCGGGACTTCTGGGGGGAGGGGGGAGGAATACCGCAATGGCAAAGCGGCCTTGCATAGACACCGAGGCGGGCTAGTGGGCATGGCGAGAAAGGGGTTCAAGGGAGAAAGAGACTTGGGAGAACAGGGTGGCAGCAAAGCCACGGTACGGCTGCGGTCAAGGCCACAACTGTCCTCCTGGCTTCGGCATCAGGGTGTCCACGTCACACAGCACAGGGAGAGGGGTTGGGGCTAACACTGACAAGGAGAAAGGGGCTAGAGGGGCCCTGACCAAGGCATCACAATAAATACATTTAGCAGCACACAGAAGCCTGCAGGGAAGGAGGGTCAAAAAAGGAGGAATTCTCCTTTCCCTCCCTCCATCCCAAAATAAGAACTCTGCAATTATTAAACCATAAAAATAAACTTTAAACCCGTGTACGAAGTCGGTCACCCCCCCAGAAGTGCAATGTGGGGCCGCGTGGCCCTAGCTGAGGGGGAGGGCAAATAGGGCAGGAGACAGGAGGTACAGACTGGTCCTCCAAAGGGTAAGGTGTTTAGTCGTTTTTCCCCCACTTCTCCGGGTCGTCCCAATCGTTGGGGACCTGGAGCACCTCCTCAATATCAGAATCTTCTGAATCCACTTCCCTTCCTTCCTCCTCATAGCTGTCTGGTTCACTACCTGTGAAAGAAACAGAGGCAAGAAGAGGGAAATGGAGGATTGTTATTTGGGCAGGTAGATATTACTAGAAAAAGGGAACAAAATACATTGGCAATGTTTTTGAGGTCTGAGACCCACTGCCAAGTGTCTCTGCTTGTGTGTGTGTGCTTGTACTCAAGTCCATGAGTGAGGAGGAAGTAGGAGCAAGGCAGGAAGGCAGCGTGAGAGCCTTGCCACTGTCAAAACAGATAAGTCTCTGAAAGTAACCTTTTCTGTCTCTCCCTGTCCTATCCCCATTCCACAATCTGTGTGTCTTCCTGACCTCAGATTTCAGCTGAATAAACCTATTCATCCATAGGCAACTCCTTCACTTCTTCCCCTTCGTGTGATCCAAACAGCCCCTAGTTTGTCTTCTTCAGCCCAATTCCCCACTTCCCTTACACCCCAGGTCTAGGCAGCCAGCTCTGCTTCCCATTCTTGGAGAGATGCCAGTGGACCGACAATTCCTTCAGTTTCTCTACTATGCCTGAACGATGTCAAATTTGACCTCCGGGAATGGTTGATATTCTTATCTTCTACCTACCCCAGGAGCTCACCTCTGCCTCTTGTCTGCCTACAACCCAGCTCAAATACCTTTCATCAATCTTCCAGGACAGAACAATCCCAGGAGCCACCTAAAATACTGTTTGTTCCCTCACTCCCTGCTCCATATGTAACCTTATTTCTCCAAATGAATTATTTGGTGAACACTGAACAACTGTCTTCTGTATTCAAGAAATTTGGGAAATGCAGAGTTCTGCAAAGTGGATGCCTCCCCCCAGGACTGTCACAACTTTAAAGAGAGTAATATTGCAAGGTAGCATTCCCTAACATGTATGACCATCAAACTTGTCTTTGAAAAGCAGCTTTCAGAACTGAAGGGGAAAGGTAATTTTGGAAACCATGACAAGCATACCATGTTATTTTATTCTTGTAAGGTCCTCATTCACATTATTCATTCCATATAGAATGCTCCTCAGGGGGAAATAAAGTTTCTGATTCAAATATCAACTTTCTCTGGCTCTCTTTTCAAACTTCCCCACTCCTTGAGGTAGATTTACTTGCTCTATCCTCTGGGTTCTCAGAGCATACTGCACACCTTCCAAAGAACCCTGGGGAGTTCCCAAGAAGGTGTGTGTGTGTGTGTGTGTGTGTCCGTCCGCAAGAGACACTTGCCCTTTTTCAGTTTTCCACTCACCATTTGCCATATGTCTATTTATTTCTTTTGTTTTATCAGTTATGACCTATCCACCTAGAACCTGGAACTGATTGTTTTGTTTGGTGTTGGTACATTTGCACCTTAAATGTTTTCTGACCTTCCTTATTTAAGAAGTTGCAGAGAATGTTTTTTTTCTTTCCCGTGTAAGAATAGATTGTGTCCATGCCTGTGAAACGCTGTACCAGGCTTTATCTGGGAAAAGAGAAAGGAGGGAAGAGAGGAGAGAGTCTAGCTTACCTTCTACACTGCCCTCTTCCTCCTCTGATTCATCAGAGATGATCTCTATTTCATCCTCATAAATGCCTTGGTTGATGCTGTTTTCCAGATCCTTGTCAAAGACTTCAAAGTGATTCTTGTAGTATTCAATGTCTCTATCATCATCATCACTGCCTTCATTGTCACCTTCATTGCCGTCATCGTCTTCATCACTGCGCTCATCTCCATTGTCACTATCACTGCTGTCTTGGTTGGTGCTAGTGCTGCTTTGGTGGCCACTTTCCAGGTTCTTCTTGTCACCGTAAATATTCTCATAGGTGAGGTTCCCATTATCATACGTGTTGTTTTCTTCCTGGTTCTCGCTGTTGTCATCAGGACTCTCATCAGCACTCTCATTGTTGTCAGTGGTCTCGTTGGGGTTCTCATGGTGGTGTAGGTTCTCACTGTCATACAGGCTCTCGTTGATGTCAGTTATCTCATTGTCAGTGGTCTCGAAGTAGTCAGTGGTCTCCATGAAGTCAGAGATCTTGATGTTGTGGATGGGTTCGTTGTCGGTCTCGTCGATGTCTGAAATCTCACTGAGAATGTGTTCCATTCCGTAATACTCATGGTCATCTTCCATGATCACCATTTCATATTGCTCCTTATTGCTCCTGTTGGAAAAGTTTGGGGCTGAGTATGGGATTAGTAAGAAAGGATATACCCAGGGAAGACACTAAAAGGTGCTAAGTTAATTGATGGAGGCAGGAGACAAGGATGAGTCTAGGGTGGGGAACTGTCTCATTTGGGCACCTGACTTTGTAACCTCTGGACATTTGTGGACATTGTTCTTTCTTTGTAAAACATCGCACTATATTATCTCAGAGGTCTCTTGTATATCTATACACTAGCCCAGTCTTTTGGCTCTCTCTCCAACTCTCAGCCATCAATTCCCCCATCACCTCTCCTTGTCTTCTCGCTTCTTTCTGTTTGTCCTACAGCCACGTTCTCTCATGTAGTAACGTAGAGGGTTAACCCACAGGTCATTCTTGATAATCTGTCAAAGGAAAAGGGAGAACAGAGCCATGAGTATAAGCCCAAGACTCTCCCTACTCTCAACCCACCAGTAACCCAGAGATAATGTAGCAAATCCGTGTCTGGCAATGCCAGAAGGGGCCTTGCCTCAGCAATCCTGTCAGCCTCTGGGAGGCTGTGGTTTGAAAACCAGTTGAAGAAGCTGTCACTGGTATCCTGGTTCCGGCGATTGTGGGCCTGGGGTTCCTGGCCACGGTGCCAGCGGATTGGGGTTGAGTGAGACACCAGTCGGCCTATGGGGAGATAAGGCCATGCAGAAGGGAGTGGAAAAGAATAGATGAGGGGAAAGGTAGATGCCCTCCCCGCAGTACTGCCACTTACCAGAGCGGTTGCGTTGGAATTCCTTGACAATAACCATGTTTGTAAAGTAGGGGTTTGTCTGGAAATACAGCTTCATTTTGTAGCCCATCGAGATATGTCTGAGATCCTGTACCTGCTCAGGATGGGGGTAATGGTGGTATGTGTCCCCTCCTTGACCTTCCCCCCCCCTCACCTCTAAGGACCAGATTCCTTGGCTTTCTTCTTTCGCCTGACCTGGAGATTGGTCAAGTAGCGGAAAATGTCTTCATCACGTTGGTTGATCAAGATTGAAATTCTGGGGTGGTTGAGGAACTAATGAGTGGAGCAGTTTAGGTCAAGGATTTACTATTCACTGAGAGGGAGGGAGGGAAGGCTAGGGAGGGCAGAGCAAGAGAGGCTGGACTAGGAGAATTCTTTCTGTGTTCATGTGATGCATATAGACCAAGTGGGTCATGGGTTATGACATATATTTTCATTCCTAGCATATCATCTATGTGGTGAGAGCCTATGTTTTTATAAGCCTCAGTGTTAGAAGACTTTGACACTGTTCATCTATGTTCTGTGTTTAGGTGCTGAGTCCATGTCTATATGAACTGTCTTGAGATGCTGTAAACTTGTATTCACAAAACAATCTGTGTTTAAGGGCTGAAGGTTTGTGTGCAACTGTGTTTGCTTACTGGCCCTGTGGTCATGTGATGTTGTGTGGCTGGCTCTTAGAGTCTACGTGCTGAGAATCTGTGGCCATGTATAGTGCTGTGTGTCTGGATCTGGAAGTCATGTGTTTCTATCTTGTTACATATGTGTGTGTGTATATATATACATACATAGAATATGTGCCCCAGTGATAAGCCAACAGTAAATAATATTCTTCCTCTCTTCTTTCCTTTAACCCCTTGATCTCCATATCCAGGTGTTCTGTCTTCTCACCCTTCAGGGGCTCTACACCCTCTCTTGTCCCTCCCCTCTAATGCAGGCCACTCGAGTCAGAATTGTGATTTTCAGGCATCTATGTAAAAACCTAGGTTTTTATGTATGGTTTAAGCACCTTTTTCTGGGCAGTTTCTCTGCTATTGTGCCTTTCTCCTCTACTGTCTGAGTCAGTTCTCATTTGAATGCCAGCCCCTCCTTTCTACTTTTACTGTCCCCAGGCCAGGGTCTAGTTTTTCTGCTGTTTCCCCTCTTTTCCCCTCCTCCTTTTACCATGTGAGATGCATTTTTATTTTTATCTGTTGTTGTTGTTAGGTTCCCCTCCCCGCTTCCCATCAGCTTTTTTTTTTCTTAAATGCTGGGCCCAGTTTTTTTATGCTGTGTGCTCGCATTTCCCCTTGCTCATCTCCAGTCCAGCTTCTCTGCTGTTTTGCCCTCCTCCTTCCATCCCTCTTCCACCCAATCTGGTGAGTCTTCTGATAGGGGACTCACCCCCCCCATTGTGTCCCTCCCTCTCCCCATTCCCTTTCTGTCATGGGTTTTTGGCACATGAGTATCAATGAGAAGGATACTGCTTTGACCCAGAAGCCCGGGATATGCTGGATGATGACGTCTCTGCGCTCCAGAAAAGGTCTTCGCATCTGGATGAACTTACGCTTGAGACGCAGGAAGGCCTTTCCAGCCTTGATGTTCACAGCCTCCAGGTCCATTTGAATGCTCTCCAGAGCCTCCAGGATGCTTTCTATCCTCTGGGCATTCCTCTCTTTGCTTTCCTTCTTCCCCTTCCTCTGCTTCCTCCTCCTCCGCCTCCTCCGCCTCCTCCCACTTTCTTTCTCATCCTCATCCTCATCCTCGACTAAAATGACAGCCTCTTCCTTCCTCTTTGGACCGACTAACACCTGGGGCTCCCATCCCCCTGAGCTACAGGTTTCTAGGGCCTTCTCTACAGCAAGACCACTGGGCTCCGCAACCTGAAAGTCAATTTCCAGGCTACCCCCACTGGCTTCGGAAGCAGGGAGTGTTTCCAGGCTTCCTGCGGGTGGGGGTAGTTCCCCGTACCCTGAATCGATGGTAGGATCCCAGCCGGGTCCCCCAGAACCCAGGGTGAAGTACGCACGGATCCCCCCCTCCTCGAGAATGACATAGGGTGGAGGTGGGGGCAGCGTGAGGCCCAGTCCCACCCCCCTCATGTCAGCCAGCACCTGTGCAGCCTCGGTTTCCTCTCGGAGCCTCGGGCGCTGCTGGGGTGGCGGCAGGGGCAGACGCAAGAGCGGCGGAGGTGGCGGAGGTGGTGGATCGCGCTGAGGGGTCTCAGAGCTGCTTAGGCGGCGGGTCTTGGCCGGAGGCCCCTCATCGGGACGATCCATGATGACCGCGCTCAAAGCTCAGAGGGGTCGCTCTGGCTCTTTTGCTCTCGGGCCCGGGGCCTCCGCTACCAGTTCCACCTGAAAAGAAGCCGCCGCACCTCACGCGACCAGCTCCGCTCACCGCCTCGCTCTGACGCTCCCTCCCACAGCGCCTACCCTACTCCCTCCGCGCCAGCCTCTGAAGCCTCGCCCACTCCTTGATGCAAGGGGCCTATTCGGCCTCGCGATTGGCTGCGGGCCTTCACGGCGGCGCTCACGCTCCTCCGACCCCTGCCCGCTCACACGCAATCTGCTTGCCAACACTACACATCATCACTTTCCGATTGGCTCCCCCTTGAACCGCCAATCATTGGGCTATTCCCCACCCCAGCGATGACATGAAAACTTCAGCGCGATTGGCTGCTAGGAGAGCTGGGGGAGAAGCCCCTCTCTCTCACTTCTGTAACATTTTATCCAATGGGAAAAGTACCAGTGGTTCTGAAGACCAAAAAACAAGGCGAAAAACAAACGCAGACACTAAGCAGGATGTGCTAAAAAAAAAAAAATCGAAGAGCCTCGCTATCGTTCTCCCCACCCCCAGCTTCTCTCTGCAACTACGCACTTCTTAAATCTATCTACCTTTGCTCCCCATTCCCTCCTAGTGTTCCTGGGGTGAATGAACTCTGCAGCCCCTCAAGGCAATAGTTGCCTTAGAGAGCCCTGAAATTTAGGTGCCCAAAGGGCTTTGGTTTGGGGATCAATTTTTCACATGATTTTCCCCTAGTCACATTAAAAAGTAACTTCCACTGCGTCATAAAAATGATTATGATTCAGCTCATCTACTAGATTTTTCTGGAACTTTCTCTTCATCTACTCCCCTCTTTTTCAGTGTATGCTTTTATTAATCACATTTTAAGATTTTATTATTTTTAATGACCAGACATGAATGGTCTTTGGTGAAGCATGATGGTGGAGTTTTGGCTTTGGTTCTAGAATTTACATCATGGGGTACACTAGAACCCTAACTAAATCTCTACCCCTCTACTTCCTCTAAATCAGGCATTCTCCCAAAGGGATAACTGCCTATTGCATTCTTGCTCTGGTAGAGCCTTAGAGGGAACCTAGGGATCCATCCCCAGGAGAATGAATAAGAAAATGTGATACATGTTTTAGATGGACCACCAGAATGAATTAGATCTATGTACAGCAACATGGCTGGAACTCTCAAAAACAGAATGTTGAGTGAAAAAAGAAACAAACAAGATTTATAGTACAATAACTTTATGTAAATTAAAACACAACAATACCATATTTTCCACAGATACACATATGTAAATAAACACATGAATGGTGGACTGGAAAGACATACATTAAATACACAAGACTGGGTGCCCGTATGGGGTGGGGAAGGATGGGATCAGGAATGGGTGATGAAGGGACAAAATCAAACAAGAAGATAAAAGGGCCTTGCAAAGACCAACGATGATATAGTGTGCCAAGAACTGAGGAAGATGGTCAGCTCAGTTCTGTGCACCTGAGAGAATAAGTAAGTAAATAAATAAATAGTAAATTAACGGAGTGCCTAGGGAATAGGCTGGCTGGATAGATTCCCAGACTACCCTCCCCCCCACACCCATTACATCCCTTACTCTGAATTTAGTCAAAGCTGATCAAAATACCAACTCTGTACAGTGGATTCTTAGAAAAGGGCTCCCAGCCCAGACTAAGCAGTGTTATTCCAGAAACAATTACTTTGTAGAGGACATTTCCTAATCTCATTTATTCCCCATTCATGTTTGCTCCTCGATTCTCAGTTCCTATCCTCTATAGGGGTCCAATTTTCAGGAACACCTTCAGTTTTGGGAAGGTGATTGAACCTACACACTTTAGGAGGTGGCAGGGATCTCAAGCTCCCTGTCCTCTTCACTCTGTAATCAGAGCCTGGGCCATGGAAGGAGCAATCTTAAGAGATGGAGTCGACTGTCTTTCTTCATACATGTATAGAATTTCCAGCTTCCATGTGAGCATTCTACTTCCTGCTATAGGCACATGATCTAGTTTGTCGCGTCTCAGGTATGTGTGTGTCTGTGTGCATGCACACACATGCACCTGTGCATGTATGTGCCATGTATTTCCACACGCTGGCATTTGCTCACATGTGTGCACCAGGCAAGTTTCCCTCTGGAGTACGTCATCACACAAAAAAATCACACGGACGCACACTGCCTTACTCAGTCATACTTTCCCATATGTAGTCACATAGTCAGGACACACACACACACACACACACACACACACACACACACACACACTCAGAAAGAGAAAACATCCAATATAGTGTTGTTCATTTCAGTTTTTCCATTTACAAAATCCAATGGTGAATCCAGGCAGTTAGAAAAAAATGGAGGAAAGCCCTCCTAAGTGTACCCTATTTACTCCCCACCCTCTTGGTCTTCCCATCCCACCCCCTCAGAAAGGCACCCCATCACTATCACTGAGAGAATAATTTCCCTCCCTCTCAGCCTCTCAGCCATTCTGGCTAGCCTTTCCGAGGTCACTCCATAGTTAGGTTCATTAATGTCTCTCCTGCCTAGAGTGCCCTCCTCGTTCCTTTTGGGTCAAAGCTTCCTCAGTTCCAGGCTGACTTAGGGGAGGGAGGGACCTTAGGACAAGGGTTTCTATGAGGAGTGGTAAAGGGTGGATAAATACAGATAGATCCCCTGCCAGTGCAGGACATGAAAGGGGGACAGAACCCCGGCAAGCTTAGGCAAAGGAATGCCAGCTTGGCGCACCAGTCCACAGAACTGGTCTTGAAATTAGCCCAGAGTGGACTCTTCCCCTGGGAGGGAGGCATGGGACCCCTCACTTGGGGGAATGGCTGCAGGCTGCTCCACTTTGGATATAGGTAAGGAAAAGGGAAGAAAAGGGAGAAGGACTGTTTGGATCAAGAACATTTGGGGCTGAGGATCCAGAAGGCCAAGGGGAACCAAGGAGAAGCTTGAGGGCCCTGAGGCTTAATGGGTACAAAAAACGAGGTCAGATAGGAATGGAGTCAAGTCTACAGTGTCTCGGAGTTTGTTTGTACCACTATCAGTTACCAAGGCCCCCAAGGAATTTTCATCTTCAGAAAAGAACCCAGGAGACAATCCTGAGGTTCAATAAAGCTTTGATCCCAGGCTCTGGGGTCCAGTTATTCTGAGGGAGCTCTTCTCCCTCTTTATACTTTCAGGGCACGGGCCGCCCCAGCGCATGGCTCCCATATCAGCCCTAGTGGGGTTGTCTGTCCTCAGGGAGAAGAGGTGGAGTGCCGGAGATCCAGGAAGCAGAACAAGAGAATGCAGACAAGCTTGGTCTCTTTAGCTTGAATTCAGTTTCCATTCTCCTCTTTACCTAGCCTGGGTCTATTCTGGGGGGCCCTTCTCCTTACCCTCTTGGCTTCTCATACAGATCCTCAAGAAACACTTGGGAGGTCTGGACATGGTGAGAGGGAGAGGAAAGTGGGCTTGGGACCAGGGTTAGCCAAAAACAACAGTGCACACAACATAGCAATTAAACATCCTTGCTCCCCCAGAACCCGACACCCCTTGGGTCCCTCTTTTCAGCAGCCTTGGATCAATTTTTCCCTAAACATCCAGGCCTTGCTAAGGGACTTGGAAGGGAAAGGTGCATGGGAGCAATGGGGGCAATAAGAGATCTGGAAATCTATTTTACAGGACAAAATTTACCCTTCTGGACAATGTCAGAAGGAGAAACATTAAAGCAAGAAAGCCTGTCTCCTTGTCTCCTCCTCAGCTACTAGTAGAAAAACCTGTACTTTCAGTTTTTTTCTTTTTCTGAATTGGAGAGAGAGAGAGAGGGAGAGAGGGAGAGAGAGAGAGAGAGATAGAGAGAGAGAGAGAGATGAGATTTATAGAAGGAGGCTGCAGAGACAGGCCCCACAAAACTAGAAATGCCTCTTTCCCATTTCTCCACTCAGGCCCACAAAACTAGAAATGCCTCTTTCCCATTTCTCCATTCAGTCCTCCACCCCAGGGAGATGCTGGCAAAGGTGCCTCACTTAAAAGTGGTTTGAGGGGCTGGGGCTGGAGCTCAGAAAAGAAGACTTCTATATGAGGCCCTACGCACCCCCTTGCTGTTTGGCCCTATCACATGGTGACCATGACTTGTTTCCCTGCCTGTCTGCCTACTCTCCTGCTTCACATGACACAGTAGGGTTCTCTGGGAGCTGGGGCACCTCCTGTGCCCCAGCAGGGGGCGTGAGTCCTCAGGCACTTCTTGAGGTCCTTGTTGAGCAGGAAGCAGACAATCGGATTGACAGCAGCCTGGGCGAAGCTCATCCAAACAGCGGTGGCCAGGTAGCGGTGGGGCACAGCACAGGCTTTCACGAACACTCGCCAGTAGCAGGCCACGATGTAGGGTGACCAGAGGAGCAGAAAGAGCAGTGTGATTGCGTAGAACATGCGCCCTAGCTGTTTTTCACCTTTGACTTCGTCCATCCCCAGCAGCCTTCGACTGGCCGCATGCCCATTCTGCCGGATACCCAGAAGGGTTGGTGGCATGGGCCCACGGCCAAAGCCGGCGATCCAATTGGCAGCAGCTTGGCCAGTGGCCCCAGGACCGTGGAATGTCCAGTTCTGGCTGATGGCTGGCACCATCTGCACTGGCTTCATCTTGCGGTGACGATACTCGAAGAGGAGCAACTTGCCATAGACAGCATGCGTGGCCGCCATGAGCACAGCCAACATAAGCATGAAACCCAGTGTGTCATTGGCCTTGAAGTAGCGATGCTCAAAGATGCATTGGTCTTCCTCCCGGATAAACTTGTAGGTGCCCACATCGAAGACAGGTGGGAAAGCCATGGCCACAGACAAGGTCCAGGCCATGCAGATGACAGCTGCGCATGTCCAGAGTGTCATGCGCTTGGCGTAGAAGCGGTGGTGGGCGATGGCCATGTAGCGAGTGACGCTGATGCAGAATAGCATGAAGGCTGCATGGAAGCAAAAGAGCACGGCCATAAAGGCCACAATCTTACAGCTGAGTGCACTGAAGGTCCATGAGGAGCCGTGCCGCACAGAAGCCAGTACAAAGGGGAAGCAGACGGCAGAGCGTATGCCATCAGCTAGGCACAGGTCCAGCAGAAAGTAGTAAGGAGCTTTGTGCAGGGCACGCTCCTTGAGCACCAGCAGAGACAAGATGGCATTGCCTGCCAGGCTCACACACATAATCAGTCCCAGCAGCACCAGCTTCACATAAGCTGATGCTGATGGCGGGGACAGTGCACCGCTCACCTCCTCGGGCTCTCCAGTGGTGTTGGCCATAATGAGGGGCAAGGGCTACTCCCAATCCTATGAGATCTGCCAGGCTGGTACTCGATGGACCCTGGGTGACTCCATCAGTTGTCTTGCTAAGCTGCACCTGGAAATGGGGACAATAAGGGAGACACAGACACAGAGAGACAAGAGAGATGAGAATAGAAGAAACAGACCAAGAAAGAATAGCACATGTAGATACAGAGAGAATGGGGAAAGAATGAAATAGAAAAATGGTGACAAAGGTATGCATGGATAAAAAATGACACAGAAATGGGGGGGGGTAAGAAAATGGTGAGAGAAACAAGTAACAGATGATGAGAAGCAAATGGAAAAGAAAGGGACGGAAATAAAAAGGAAGACAAGGTTAGTTTGTCTACAAGTTCTTCCCACTGACTTCTTGGCCTAGGCCCAACTTGCTCCTACTCTCTCCTTACTGACTTCCAAAGCTTCATGTCTCTGAATGTATGCTCTTAGTTACCAGTTTCTTTCATTGGTAGGTCTGTGAGGTGGGGATCTTCTCCCCCTTTGCAAGCACTATGGTTGTGTGTAAATTTGGATTAAACCACCACCCATAGTTACAAAGGCTGTTTTACATCACAGCTCAGTACTTACATGTGCACACACACAAACAGCTCAACCAAAATATCACAGAACAGTACTGATTTTTGCTCAGTGCCATGATCTCATGCATGTGTTTTCAGCTATGTGAGAGACAGAGATCAGGAGGTCACAGTTCAAAATCAGCCTGGGCAAAAAGTTAGCCCCTTTATCAGTCAATGAGTGGGATATGGTGGTATGCACTGTCATCCCAGCTATGAAGAAGGTCTACTAGAAAGATCATGGTCTGAGGCAAGTCCTGGACAAAAACAAAGACCCTACCTACATTTTTCTTTTTAAAGCAGTGGGCCGGGCACCACCAATGGCTTAAACCTGTAATCTTAGTTGCTCAGGAGGCCGAGATCTGAAGATAAGGCTTTGAAGCCAACCCTCAAAGGAAAGCCCATGAGACTTATCTTCAATCAACTACCAGAAAGTTGGAAGTGGAGCTGTAGCTCAGGTGGTAGGGGGCCAGTCTTGAGCAAGAAAAGCTTGGAGGCAGGCCTGAGTTCAAGCCTCAGTACTGGCACCAAAAAAGAAAAGAAACAAAGAAAACAATAATAAAAAACAGACAAGGATGAAGTTAGCACATCAAATGATAAGTCCTTAAGAAGAAGTATAAAAGAAGAGAGTGGGGCTAGGGGTACAAAGACATGGAAGTTTTGAATAAGGTGAGCAGGAAAGGTTTCACAGAGAATGTGTCATCTAAGCAAAGAACTGAAGAGGTGGAGGAGTGAGTCATGTGGCTATCTGGGGGAAGAGAAGTCCAGGCAAGGGGAACAGCCTGAAAAAAGGCATTAAGGTGGGATTAGTTATGACACATTTTTCAGGAGAACAAAGAGGCCACAGTAGGTGGAATAGTGAGCAGGGGGCAAGTGCTGATTGGGGTGAGGTCAGAAAAGTAGCAAAAGCAGATGATGAATCTGGGAGAGGCGGCACATGTCTGTAATCCCAGCTATGTGGAAGGAAAAGATAGGAAGGTTGTGGTTTGAGGCCAGCCCAGGCCAACAGATTTGTGATAACAAAGTCTTATCTCAACACAAATCTGTAATCCTAGGTATTTGGGTTGCTGAGATTAGGAAGATTTCAGCTCATGGTCAACCTAGGCAGAAAAGTTTAAGAGACATCTGAGATCTGGACTCAGTGGTACATTCCTGTTATCCTAGCTACACTTGGAAGCCTAACGTAGGTGAATCATGCTCAGGCATGTGTCTAATTAGGAAGTGAGAAATTTTCTGTTAAAAAAATAAACAGTACTAAACAGGACTAGAGGCAAGACTTAGCAATAGGAGTTCCTGCCTTACAAGCATGAGACTCTGAGTTCAAACATCAGTATGGCAAAAAAAATATCAACCAACCAACCAACAAAAATAAGTTGGGTATGATGGTTAACTCATATAATACCAGTTACTTGGAATGTAAATATAGGAGGATAGTGGTTCAAGGACCATCTCAGGCAAAAGTGAGACCTTACCTGAAAGATTAAATGAAGCTTTAGAAAAGACTGGGAGGCATAACCCTTGGTAGGCAAGCATGACATCCTGAGTTAAGATCCCAGTATCAAAGAAGAGGAGGAGGAGGAGAAAGGGGAGGAGGAGGAGGAGGAGGAGGAGGAGGAGGAAGAAGAAGAGGAGGAGGAGGGGGAGGAAGAGGTGGTGGCAGCAGCAAATCATGGAAGCCATGGTGAGGACTCTGACTCAGAATAAGATTGGAATCATAGGGGTCAGTACTGAACAGGATCCTACTTACTGCGGTAAGAACAGATCAAGTGAAACAAAGGTGGAAATGGGAGACTAATGAGGAGGCTCCTTGGGTAATCCAGGTTAAATGTCATAGCATCCCCATGCCCTTCTCCCTCCTTTATTTTTCTTCCTAGAATTTCTCTCTTCTAACACTATATAAATGACTGTTAAAATTTGATCTTTGCTGGGAACCAGTGGCTCACACTTGTAATCCTAGCTATTTGGGAGGCTAAGATTTGAGGATTGTAGTTTGAAGCCAGCCCAGGAAGGAAATACGTGAGACAATAATCTCCAATTAAGTATTAAAAAAGCCAGACATGGACATGAGGCTCAAGTGGTAAAATACTAGCCTTGAGCAAAACAGCTCAGGGATAGCACTAAGGCCCTGTGTTCAAATACCAGGACTGGCACACACAAAAAAATTGGATTATTGACTGCCTCGTCCTGTAAGAACAAAAGCTCCATGAGAGCAGGAAATAGATTCACAGCCAAGCACTGGTGGTTCATGCCTCTAATCTACTCCAGGAGGCTGAGATCTGAGGATCCTGGTTCAAACTGAGCCCCAGAAAGAAAAGTCTGTAATACTATTATTTCCAATTAACTAGCAAAAGCTGGAAGTGGAGGTGTGGCTCAGGTGATAGATCAGGTGCCACCAGCCTTGAGTGGAAAAGCCAAGTGAGAGTGTGAGGCCCTGAGTTCAAGCCCAGTACTGGCACACACACACACACACACACACACACACACACACACACACACACACACAAAGACTCACTCTCCTCTAAAAGAGCAGTACTGTGCAGTGGGAGGCTCTCTGAAAAGAAGCTGTGAATCAGTTGGTTAAGGGATTAAATGCACTGGTGAATGGGGAGGGCTCCCTGGAGGCATCAGGCTAGATGTGCTGAGAGGGGGAGGTTTGGGGAAAATAGAATAGCGTCTGCTGTGGGCAGCCAGGGGATGTAGAGATGGAATAAGGTATTTGGACAGGGCAGGTCCCATAGGGAAGGCAGCTGGCCTATTGGAGCAGAAGGTTGAGAAGCTCAGAGTTATGGTTGAGGCTGGGTTGAGCAGGGGAAGGCAGAGCTTGAGCGGATGTCTCCTTATTCTCCCCCACCCAGTCAAAATGTTCCCTCAGCATTGTTGTCCAGAGAAATTCAACCAGTTTTTCCATAACCATCTGGAAACTGACATTTGGGGGGAGGAGGGTGAACAGACCTGGGATTTGAACTCAGGTTTTCATGCTTGCTAGGCAGGGACTCTACCCAGTAAGCCATGCCTTCCACTGCTGTTTTTGTTTTAGTTCCTTTTCAGATAATGTCTCTCTAATTCCCCTATCCCAGGTTGGCCTCACACTACAATTCTTGCATCTCAACCTCCTTCATAACAGGGATTATAGCTATGAGCCACTGTACCTGGCTGAAACCAGGATTTGCTAATGGCACCATGAAATCTCAGAGCTAGTGGCCTAGAGGCAAGAGAAAGTACTAGAGAAGTTGCTGGGAGAAGTGGGGGTGGTAGACTCTCTGTCCCTTAAAGCCCTCTGCCTTTAGAATTGTGGAGAAATCCTCAGCTGGATGTGTATAAATTTTCATATTCCCTCCCTCCATTCCTCCCTTCTTCTCCCTCTCTCTTCCTTTGCTTTAAAGGGAGACAAAGGGGAAAAGGTAGGGACAAATTGAAACTAAAGGTAAGAATTAAGACACATGTATGAGAAACAGATGGACACCAAGAAGGCACAGAGGATGAGGGAGAAGAAAAGGGAGAGTAAAGAAAGGTGACAAGGGAAAAAATATGATACAGAAAGGGAAAAGAGGGAAAGATAGAAATGGAGGCAGAAAGGGGGAGAAAAGTCAGAAAAAGAGAGACACACAGAAACAGTATGACCTGTAGAGAAGGGGAAAGATCAGAAACCCAAATCGATAGTAAAAGAAATAGAGAGGGGGAAAGAATAACACCAAAAAAATAGAAAGGCAGAAAGATTTAGAAGACTGAGGAGAGATGAGGGTGAGGGTAGGGAGTAGAAGACAAAATGGAGCTGGAGAGAGACAGAGGCAGAAATAGAGACAAAGCACAATAAAATGGAGACAGAGCAAGATAAAATGGAGACAAAGACTGTGAAGGTGGATAATGTGTAGCTGGGAGTCTCACTGGAAACAATATTAAAAACAGAAAATAAAAACAAAAGCTGGGGCAATCATTAAAGTGAGAGAGGTGTTCCAGAGCACAAATTGGGGGTGGGGGGGAGTGTAGCTTGAATAGAACAACTGATTTTGTTTGGGCACTCTTGTGAACAGACCCACACACTCACAGATTCTCATGAACACAGCGTCCACATCCACACACGCATGCTCTCACGCACACAGGCACAGGTTGATCTTGTACTTGGCTTCAGGTACATTGTGTGCTCTGCCTAAGCATCAGTGCTTTCAACCTCTACAAAAGCACTACTGCCCCCTAGGGGCTATTTGAGAAATCTGTAGCTGCGCTCATGGTGGCCACATTGCTAGGGTATGGAGTCTCCTAACACTTAAGGTGAAGAAAGGAGAATACTGAGCATCCAGTGACACGCAGGGCAATTCTACACTGCTCTCACACTTCCCATGGTACCTGGGACTTTGGATTTACAGGTAACAGAACCTAGAATCAGGCAGATTCAGTAAAAGAGTTACT